TTTTCAATTTTTTCATTCTCTCAAAGTCATTACAGCTTAGGATTTTTTTGTATAGCTGAAGGTCTTAATCAAGAGATAGCTGAGGATGGTTCAACTTAGAGCAATTAAAATCTACATTACCATGAGCACTATTGCGTGAAATTATTGCAGTGTGGAGGTGATATTATGCTAAAACAAATGCAAGAGAGAGTATAGTTGTTCTGAGGCAAATGAGAGTAATATTATAATAACTGTAGTACCTTGCAATAATCTGAGTAAAGTCACCATAATTATATGGAAATATGTCACTTAAATTGTGAAGTCTTGCTGTGAACACTACTTAAGTAGTGGTGAAAATAAGGCCTGAATAAAGTTCAGGCCAGTTTGCAATTTAAATCCATGACCTCAGTGTTACTTGTAGAGCACTCTACCAACTATATGATTTTCATGTATATTTACAGTCATTTATTTACCACTTTGAGGGTTTATTGGGAAACAACATGATGACCAGTTCCCAGTCGGCTTGTTAGCTCAATTGGTGGAGTGCTGCACCAGTATGGCGGAGGTCATGGGTTCAAATCCTGTATGGGCCTGAATTTTTTTCAGGCCTTATTTTTATTCTACTTAAGTAGTGTTTATAACAGCGAGGATTGCTTCTATATTCATGTCTTCAACTGCAGTTCACATATATGATTTTCATATCTTTACATTCATGTAAGCTATTGATTGTTAGACAATTTCTCTTTGTTAGCACTTTAGAAAATGTATAGAGAACAGTATGGAGAATATGCAAGCTGAGTTTAGTGTGTAAAAGGTTAAGCACATCCTAACTGCTGAGTAACCTTAAATTGTGCCTGTCTCATTTGGCTATGCCAATATCGTATTAGGTTCATAAGCTGGAGTTTTTGTTGGCTGATGCCCTGGATAAGAGTGTGATACAATCTTCACATGTGGTGGAATCCAGTCCAATCATTGCGGAAGAACTGCAGTTGCTGCAAGACAACTTGGTTTGGATTGTTACCTGTTCTTAAGAAGTCCTGAACAGGCACGTGTTTGATTTACTTAAAATTAACTTCAAACAAGAACTGATGCAGAAGATTTTAAGCATCTTGAGTCATGATCAAAGATCTGTCACCCCTAAGAACAAGTAATGATTACTAACAAAAGAATTTAGGTAGATTTTGATTAGCCAAGGCTTACAATCAGACAAAGAGTGGTGCCCATGTGATCCATTACTAACAGTAATGGAGACAGTAACATGGAGTCTTATAATTTTTTCTTTGTCCCATGCTCGCAACAAGACAAAACAGCTTCTTTCTCTTTTTCTTTACCAAGCTCAACCCTTACCATCTTATTCTATTTACAAAACATAACACTTTAACAACATTGCCGATCCTAGCATTATGCAGGACGCATGTCATATTTGGACTTTGAAATGTGCCTTGCTCACCATAAAGTCTCTGTGGTTCAGTGGTAGAGCGTCAGAGCACAGAATCCAAAGGTCTGAGGTTTGATTCCTCATGGGGACTCCCACTCTTGACAAGACAAAAAAACATCTTTCTTGATTTCTTTACAAAGCTCAACACTTACCACGATCTTGCTTATTCTTTTTACAATATGTGGAACCTGTTTGTTAATTAAAAGCTCCTCATGTGTCATTAAACAGTGGACTCATCACCATCATAATGTCCAAAGGATTGGACATTGATTGTGATGATAATGTAATGATGATTGTGGTGAAGATGAGATGACAAGATTCACAACTGCACTGTCACATATAATAGTTGAGCGAAGGTTTCTATGAGATTTGAGGCAGACAGAAAAAAACTGCATGGTAAGCTGCTAACAGAAGTTCAGTCTTTTCTCTAATGTTGCTCACTTCACAGAAAATGGACACCAATTCGCTTCACCTAAATGGCAAATTCTGAAAAACTTAGCAAACTTATTGAAACTTTTATTTGATCTTTTTTCTTCATGCAGACCACAGATATTGGTTGTGAAGGAAACCTGTTTTTAGACAAACTGGTTGGAAGTCAAATTATTCAGTGTTGTTCCTCAGCTTCAATACAAATCTGGCCTTAAGCAAATGATGGAGAAAACGTCTGAAAAAATTCTAAAGGTCAGAGGACTGTATTTACTAGAAAGTTGGCACCACTATGATTGCAATTATAAAAAAATTTTCCATCTCAAACTGACTGTTAAGGCTTATTTTGGATAGAGCTGTCACTAAGTGGTGGTAACAAGCCAGCTCATTTTATTATAATTGCCTACATACGAAAATATTGAAACTTTTTGAAGAAATTTGCATTGCAGCCATTTCACAGTTTTGAGTGGAATTGACTTCATATTAATTTACTGGTAAGAGGTTTAGGTGCAGGGATATAGATCTCATGGGCAGAACTTGCATGAAAGATTTTCAGGAATTTCCTTTAGTGCCAGACAAGCAATGAAAATTTAAAAAAAAGTATCAATTAAGGAATTATTAGTTTGAAAAAATACCAAATTCTCCACACTAAATTGATAAGAATTGTGTGGTACACAGTAAGGAGAATTACTAATGAGATCCTGGGAGTGAAAGGGTTAGCAGATCAGACACATGTCCAAATGTAAACCCTTTACACCCTAACATCAGCATACATGTTCTCTATGCTGTTCTCTATACGTGTCCTAACGTGCTGAGAAGGAGAATTTGATTAACAATCAAGAGCTTCTGTGGTTGATGATTATTTCCTTTCTTTGTATGACTTTAATGTGTAAATTGGGGATGATATTGTTGGGAGAAATTAGATGCTAATCACTTTTAGGGAATAAAACGTCTAATTCATTAGTAATGGAGGTAAATGTTTTGACGGGTTCCCAATTTTAAAGTGATTCCAAATTTTTTGCAGACCAGGAGGTTATAAAAACCACACAGGAGACCAATAGATTCTGTTCTGTTGTATGACTCTGGGGAAATGCTAGGAAAACTCAAGAGAGCTGTTATTGTAATTATTATACAGTGAATAAAGAAGGCAACAGATATTGGAGAATTCTTGAACTAAGTTTTGATGGGCTCAGTTATTTTTGATTCAGATGTAGAGAATTTTCTCCTTAAACTACCTGCTTACTTACCTGCCTGACCTGCTTCTGTGTTTCGATGAAAACCCAGCATGTATGCTGAGGCATGTTTGTGGATGTTCGTTAAAGTTCCTTCCTCCTGACTTTGTTTGCTTTTTTTTCAGGAAAGAACAGGGCTCATCAGCTTATCTGATTGAAGTTGGAGGCTCCTCTTACATGGTTACTTAACTGCATTTCAAGAAATGATAGATCAGGTAAAATTACAGGCTTTTTATGTATTGAGTGCTCATTTCGTGCATTTCTGGTCAAGAAGTCATGAATGCAGTGAAACACTGATCACACAAAAGCCTGTTTCTTAAAATATTTTATTCTGGATATCTGTCCAAATGTTGCTTTTACAATGTGCTGGAGAATTTTGATGACATTGTTGATACAGTTGGCAGCAATGGAAGTGTATCAGGAATTGCCATTGGTAACTATTAAACAGGATCAAAATTCAAGTAAGCTCTAAATAAAAATATTGATATTTTCCCTCTTGACTGTGTGGGAGGGCTGGACAAGAATAAATTTGGCTCAAGGTAATGACATATAGACCTTTCTCCAACCAATCTGTTCATTATGCCCAGGAGCCAAATATTTTCCAATCTAACCTCTCCCCACTAAGTCATTAAGAATTTTATCATTTGACAAGCACTCTTTCTCTTCCTTCTTCTTGCTGTTTGCAACTCAGGAGGCTATATATAGAGCTCTGCAGTTATTTATGGCGCCACTGCCACCATTGTTTTTCTTTGTCTTAAGTGTTTGATTTTTTACAATGTTTTCCGTTTAATTTACATCCAGGGATTTACTGGTCATAGGATAAATGATAATAATAATAATAGGACTGAGTGGAATTCAATTCGGTCTGTAATCTTACGAGTGATTAATACAATCAGATGACTGCAAAGTGGGAGTCCAATATGTTAATGTTAACACAAAATCCTGTTACCAATTAATCAAAACTATGACAAAATTTGAGAAAGAAGCTAGATGGACTTGTTATGCATTTTCATAACAGGGTATGCCCATGACACATGCTGTCCACTCATACAGGCATGACACATCAACTGTCCTATAACACTGTTCAGTCAAAGGCATGACACATACACTGTCCTATTGGTGCTTAAATTGGGCTGGTGATAACTAATCACATAGGAGTATTTTGTTATAGTTTCCATTGAAATACTTTATCACCTTTCAGGAACCCCTGACAAACTCTTTCATGCTGGGGAACATTCTGAAAAAGCTTTATTCTCAACCTATAGGCTGATAAAAAATTTCTGCAACCTCGTAAGCTATACATTCCTAAGACTTTAAGCCGAAGAGATTGTGCTTCTTGAGAATTTCTCACAGGCCTTTATGTCTTTCTAAAAGTTTTCCCTTGTTTTCTTTGAACACTGGAGACTAATTGAGATCTTTATCAGTAACATCATTGTCATTTTTTCATAGGTGTCATGCAGTGAATGTGTGGGATGATGCAGCATATTTTTATCAGAAAAGACCTTCAAATAGGTGGACTAGATGTTCAAGGAGGAGAAATAATTGATAATATTGATGGATATGAAGGAAAAGTCTATAGGTTGGTGTTGACTCAAATAATTTTGCAGATTTTGGTTTCTTCTTAATCACTACGAGCAGTCCCTCCTTTTTGGAGAAGTCTGTCAGGCAAATTAAAAAAAAAACATTTAAAAAAATTGACGTAAGCTCCCCGCAGTGCACTAACTTTTCTTCACTCAGTTTTTTCTTTTTTGAGTCACACAACTTTTATAGACTTTGCCCAAAATGATGGATTTTTTGTAGTCTTCCATAGAATATATTAAATAATAACCTGCTTATTTTGGTACAGCAATGACATGCAAGTTGAAAAGAGTTGTTTCTATCTATCTATCTATCTATCTATCTATCTATCAGTAATGAATGAATGCTCTTTGGCTGACAACATTTTGATTTATTTAGAGGCAAATTAAAAGCTGAAATTTTGTTGCTGAAAGTTAAAATGACATTTACTCTGTTAACAAGCGATCAGTGTATTTGCTTAAAATAAATGATCACTCAGTGATGTTTCAGACCACAAACTCTACCCGCCCCAACCTCCCCTTCCCCTTAACCACAGATTTGTGCAAGACAATAATAATGGATATATAATTATAGCAATAACTTTTATAATTTATCGCTTATTTATTCCAGAATGCATTCGAAATTGCTTCCAAATAAAAACATGATCTAGATTTTTCTTAACCATTTACATTTGAATTCGCTCCTTACGGACCCTGAAATCTTTGTATCAGATAATGAAGAGGACATTGTGGAGATATCCACAACAACTGGTATTATGGTGGACCCCGTGTACAACGTCAAATTCATTAGAAGAATGCTACACGAGATGAACACCAACCCAGGGCGATTTAAGGGTC